TGCTTTTTTTTTTCTCAGGTTTCTTTGTATTAGTTTCAGTTGTATCTTTGATTTCACTGATAAATGTTGCATAAGATTGTGATTTAATACGATTCTGCAATCGTAAAATAATTAACATAATAATTAAATAATTTATACATAACTGAAATGAAAAATTGCAATAGACAAACAGCATGATGGCTTCATTACAAAGGAATTGTAAACATACCAAATACCATGCGGAATCCGGAAATAAAGCAACAGCATTGTTGCTTACGCCAATCAAACGTCGAAAGTGTGAACAACGGATAAAAGCAGATACAGCCATAATCATAGCTTGATAGTTAGAACGAATTATTTTTCAATTGATTTGAAGGCAATAACCTAACTTCGTTTGGACTAACCTGTTGACTAGTGGAACTACATTAGATTCAATTATTAGAAATTAATATTAATTTTCCTTATTTGAACACGTTTTCCAACTCATGAAAAAATGAGAATATTACAATTTTTTATATGAATTTAACTGTTTACATATCGTTTATACACACATCGTATCACGGTGTACCGTGGAATTACACGTAACTGCACTTCATTCCATATTATTCTCTGTAGTCTGCACTTTATTTGTGAGCACTAATTAATGTACGATTAGCGAAACAGCCATTTTTTACTTCGTCACAACCTTATAATTTGCCTATTTTTTATTTTAAATTTTCTCAAATCTAATTGTCATCAATTTACTTAAATCGACGGTTTTGGAAATTTTAATAATTCTTTTTGAAATTTACACACGCGCACTAGTTAAAAAAGGCACAAATGTTCGAATGTAGTGCATTTTTTCTTGAAAATTTTGTTTGGGAAAGATAAAAGGAAATGATACCTGCAAGCGTACATTAATTATAATTAATAAAAGTACAATAAAAGTCTTATTGAAATATTGATGTCTTTTATTCTCGTGCTATTTTTCTCAATCGTCTGTAAATCCGACTGTTTTGTAAACTGGTCGGTATATTGGTCGATATTAGCATAAGAGAGAAAGTTTACCACATTGCATAGTTTTTGGAAGTATATAAAGTAATAAACACCAACAATCTCAGGCACCATCAACGAGTTATCAATAATCGGTACTCGTTAACGCCAATAAGATTAAGTTATTTATCACATAAGTAAAAAATAGATATGGATGTAATATTAAAAAGCTATTATACTATTGGCAATAGCTTCTATGTGACATATAGAAGCTATTCATACAATCATATCATACAGATATTTTACGCATGAATTTACATTAAAAGTTACGATAACAGCAGTATTTTCAGCCTCTGTTTGATAATACCACATCTGTAAATATGACTCCTGCTTTCTTACTGCAACTGTATTAAAATCATAAATTTTCTTTGGTAGTAAAAAATTATTTCTCTTTTTGCATACGTATGTATCTATGTTTTACATTTCCAGTAAAAACATATTTTATGATAAACAACCAAGATATTTATTCCTATTTATTTCTATCTAAATCAAAAAGACAGTCAATATATCTTATTATTGTGTAGCTATGTCGAATATATATGGCAATGTATGCAACATTTTATTTATTTGTATGTACAATGCAAAAAAATCGCATGACTTTAATACGATTACAATAAGTAAACAGGAGACTTAAATTATTAATTTTATCAAATATCAAGAATGTATAATAGTATATAACATATACATTTACTCTTAAAACATTGTGTTTCATTGTTAGCAAACAAATAAGCGTTTTCAAAGATGTCGAATCTAGAAATTCTAAAATATCATTATGAAAGGTATAAAAAAATCATTCAACATTCCTGATAAAATCTAACTTCCTTACAGACCATCACAATATAGCCTTTAACTTAACTTTCTTCTTATATCACAAAAAAAAAGTACTTATGAGCAAATTATGTGGACACATATATATATATATATATATATATGTAATGTGTGTGTATATATATATATATATGTATATATGATATATATAATATATATATACATATACATACACTTAAAAAAATAAGAAAGTCTTAGACGATACAACATGTTTGGAAAATACATATTAAATTAAAGTACTTTTTGAAGTAAAGTACTTTATACGCTTTGTCTTTGGAAATTTCTTAATAAATTACATTATTTGTGTGATAGTAAAAGTTAACTATTACGTAATATTAATTAATTGTATCATAAATTACTTCAATCTCTTTCGGTATCATCAATTCTATCACAAAAATAAATATATTTAGAATTAATATTAATCTTTTTCAATATTATTTTAACATATAAACAAATTTGTCAAATAAACAGTCAACGCTCTGAAAAGATAAATATACAAAATAAGATCACTTTCATTTTTTCGAAACTTATATATTTTATGTATCCTTAGACACAAAGATCCATTCTAAAGAAATATTATTCTCTTGTCTCTTTTTTTCTATTTTTGTGTATTGTATGACTGGAATTAAAAAAATCAATGAAGTGTTCCGTATGTAGCATATTTATCTTAAACGTAGTAATTATAATAATTAAATGTAACAATTAAAAAAGGTAAAATATATACCAGTTGACATTAGTATTCCTTTTTTGTGCTACTTAAATTGCCGTTTATGCTGCGCTGCATTTTTCGGAAAGAAATCCGAGATCGTACGCAATGCCAGATATTTTTTCCCGTGCCTGCTAAATTGCAAACTATCAAGGACGGCGATTCATACTCATTAGGAACAATACCATCAACAGACGCCTCAAAAAAGCTAAATAACGGAAACCAGATTCTGGTTCTGATGGAATCACGCTGCATCAATGCTTGATTATTCGCCAATGTATGATAATAAAGGAATAATCGTGAAGTTATATAAAATGCGACGAAAACGTCGATGGAATAATGTTCATGCGCCGCCAAGATGAAAAAAATACCAAACATGTTAAGCATCCATGTAAAAGTATGCAGAAAATATAAATGTCTTGGAGTATCTGCAATAAAAAAAGAGCATTTCATAAATATTAAGCTCCTCGATTATGAAATAATGTATACTATAATGTATAATTACTTACACTCGGTAATGAAAAAGTTAAGCATTGTTAACGCTACTGTATGTCCACTAAACATGTAATCCCCGCAAGTTCTCACACCTTGAATGGACATGCCAGCACCTCGCCAAATAACATAAGCCATTGCTATTTTATTGTACAGTTCTACATAAGCGGAACTAAAATGAGATATAAATATGCATTTTTGTATTTAGAGAAAAAGAATATGATACGTAATTTTATAATATATGTATCTCACTTTGACCAATCATCATCTGGGATTTTCCGTGGTTGGCATTGTAGATGTGCTCCTGGCACCGACAACGAAGTAATGAGCATCGTCACGCATCTCAGCAGGAAGACTGTACCCGACAGTGCAAAAAACCTCCGTAACAAAATAAATCTGTGCCATATTTAATAGATTATTCGCACTGACAAATCACATTATTTGCTATATTTATTTAAATGGATCATATTTCTTACCTATACTTGTGAAATATAAGCACAACAAGCCATATCGCGAAAAGCAGGGTACCGGTAACTTCACACATATCAAACGCCCAAGGAATATGAGGTACATTATCTAAAAATATGTCTGGCAATGGAGGATACTTTTTCATATCAGGCACTCTGTCATGAACGATAACCATTACAAAGGCAGTAATCCATGTGACAATAAATAAATATCCCAAACTGATGAGTGTCTTCCAGATTTCAGGTGGCAAATGAGAAGCTTGTCCATCCTCTGATACCGAGGCTGAATAGAATTCGTTCTCGATAGACGTTTCGTTATTCGTACCAGTACTGGGCATCTAAAGTAAAATTATATTAAACATAGCAGTATTACTTCTTGAATTAAAATGAGCATTTCCTTTTAGAGAATCATGCCTTTACCTCATGTTTATTCTGATGAGTATAAAAATTTGTCGAAGGAAACAGATCTACATATCCCAGGTCGAATAGAACGGCGACATTGTCCCTCTGCAATTGCTTTATGGCTAGATACAATTTTTTTATAGCACCAATCTTCTTTATGTTTAAAATACTAGATTTCAAGTCTTCCTCTTTCAGCGTCAAAAGTACCTTCCCGTCGATTTCATGGAAGTAAAACAAATCCGCGTATTCCTCGTGACCATTTTCTATGAGCCACGCTTTCACGTCGGAGGACGTCCACTCGATAACGTTTCTTAAGGACATGGTTGCGCCGTCAATTCGCATCTATCCTGCATAACAGACGAGTCGACACCTGTACCGTTAGAAACGGGAAGTGATTTATCCAGCAAGTGGGTGACCTTGTAACACAGCAATAACTTTTCTAAACACAAATCGCATCGACATTGTAACGCGATTTCTCGATAACACCAAGAATAACGAGTCGTCGAGCGAATGAAAAGAAATGCCGTGACAGCAAAGCCGCAATGATCCGATCGAGAAGATTTAACTTTCGCGCGGACACGCGATCGTTCAAAAAAAAGATTAGTTGACATTCTTAAATATTTAGAAGTTTCTCAGAAGAAAATAAAGAGGATAAGGATGAGTAGGTTATAAAAGGGCAAGGAATCGAGGTAGTTAAAACTAGGGACCTTGTGTCAGATAACCTAGAAGTTAGATAGAAGCTAGACACTCCAACAATTCTCTATCCGTAGGAAAATGATAAAAATGCTTTTTGCACGATTACTCACTTGAGGAAGGATCGCGGCGCGCCCTGGGAATCCTGGAATCGTCGTGGCTACCTTATCGGGACATTTTCGCGCGTTCGACGTGCGTGTCACCGCGCCGCGACTGTTCTCGTCCAAGAGAATCATGCGTCGGCAGTATCCGTGCACAGCGTCAACGCGCTCGACGGGGCCGTCGATCGTGGTGTGGTGGATTGGTACACAGCAGTACAGATTGATATCCGCTGATCACCGATGGCGATACGACTCCAGTTTCCACCGATTCCACGGCATTCCACGGCGATGCGACAGCGGACGACAGGGCGACTCGTTGCGACTCGTTCGATTCGTGCGCGCGCGACGCAACAGCGCGGCTGTCACGTCGCGGAATCGTTAAATAGCCGCGCGAAAGAAAGAGTAATCCGTGATTTCACGAATATAAAGGAGGGGGATTCGATATAAAGGAGGTTGTACCGCCGTTGCTTGTTTTGCCGCCACGCGAGATCGATGATAATACGGCGTTCTCGAGTGACGATTCTAACAGAACATATGATTCATTTTAACGCTAAAAAAGGCATTGTTCCCTCACCAACTGTTCTTCCTAGAGAGCGTTTCAATACTTTATGACTTTTGCTTTCGACAATTTATTTACAAATTGTTCACTCTAAACCTTGAGGAAAGAGGAAGGGATGATTGTATGTAGAA